TGAAGCACCTACATATATAAGGCAGTATTATTATATCTGAAGGGAGAAGTAAATAGCAATACAATAATAATAGGGGACTTCACTTTCAACAGTGGATAGATCATTCAGACAGAAAGTCTACAGGAACATTGCACATGAACTGTGCAAAGGGCCTAACATATGGAACATTCCAACAGGAACAGCACATTTTTCTCAAGCCTACTTGGAATATTCTTAAGGATAGATCATTTTGCCACTTTTAGTCAACATAGTAGTGGAAGTCATAGCAAAAGTCGGCAAGAAAGTTGTATCAGTCGGGCAAGAAAAAGAAATTAAAACAATCTTATTTACAATAGAATCAAAAAGAATAAACTACTTCAGAAAAATTAGCCAAGGAAGTAAAAAAACACTGAGAAATTGAAAACTAAGGCAGTGATGAAAGCAAAGAAGACCAAAATAAATAGTAAAACACCGTGTGTTCATGGATTGGAAGATTTAGTATGTGCAAGTGTCCATACTACCCAGAGCAGTATAGAGTCCAGGCAATCTATATCAAAATCTCATGGGCATTTTTACAGAAGTAGAAAAAGAATCCTGAAAATTGTATGGGACCACCAAAGACCCTAAACTGCTAACCAATTCTTGAGGAAGAACAAGGCTGGGGGCATTTCACTTCCTAATTTCAAGCTACATTCAGAACTATATTACTATATTTATCAGACAGTATGAAAAAAGACACACAAACCAGTCGTGCAGAATAGAGAACACAGAAGTCAACTCACACGTTGGCAACTAATCTTCAACAAAGGTGTCAAGAATGTACAACGAGGAAAGAATTATCTTTAATAAATGGTGCTGAGAAATCTAGATATCCAAATGCAAAAGAATGAAAGTAGACTTTTGTGCCATACCCCCCCAAAAAAATCAACTCAAAATGGATTAAATACTTAAATCTAGGACCTGAAACCATAAGATTACTACATGAAAACAGAAGAACTCCTTGACATTGGTCTTGGCAATGATTTTTTGTCATATGTATGGAGAGAGTGAGTTCTTCAATATCCAGTCTTAAGAAAGAAGGAAATTTTGCCATCTGTGACACAGATGTAACTTGGAGACATTATGGTACATGAAATAAACCAAATACTTTATGATAGTACTTAGATGTAGAATTTTTAAACATCAAACTTATAAAAACAAAGAGTAAAATTGTGGCAGCAAACAAGATTTTGTTCAGGTGGTGTAAACTATCAGTTATAACAAAAATAAGTTCCAGAGATCTGATATACAGCATGGTAAATGTAGTTAAGAATAATGTAGTATAGCTGGCTGTGGTAGCACACACCTGTAATCCGAGCAACTAGAGAGGCTGAGGCAGGAAGATTACAAGTTTGAGGCCAATCTCAGCAACTTAGCAAGGCCCTCAACAATTTGGTGAAATCCTAACTCAAAAAATAAAAATAAAAAGGGCTTAGGGTGTGATGTGCTCAGTGATAAAGCTCCTGGTACAAAAAAAAAAAAATGTGTCATATACTTGAAGTTTGCTAACAAGGTAAATCTCAGGGCTTCTCAACACAAAGCAAAACACAAGGGTAGCTACATGAAGAAATGGATGTGTTAACTACCTTGATTGTGGCAGTCACCTAACCATGTATATGTGTGTATCAGATATCACATGTACACCTTAGAGACACAGTTTTCTTTTGTCAGTTATACCTCAGCATAGCCTAAGTAAATGGCTAAAGACATGAAAATGGATAATGTTTTCACTGAAAAAAGAGATACAGTATCTCATAAGCACAGGAGAAGGTGTTCATTATCATCATTTTTGTGTTGCTGAACAAATCACCATAAACACAGACAATTAAAACAACACAATTTCTTATGTTACAGTTCTGGAGGTCAGAATTCTGAAATGGGTTCACTAAACTGAAAGTGTACACAAGGCTGTGCTCTGTCTGAAGTCTCGTATCTTCACGTCTCTGTGGGTTTCTTCTTCATGTAGCAGAGTGTGTAGAAAACAAGATTTTGATTCTAATCCCAACTGCCTCCTTCTTTATAAAGACCTTATGATGACATTGGTTATCCATCTGGATAATCTAGAATTTTCTTCCATGTTTGAATTCTTAATCACATTTGCCAAATTCCTTTTGCCATATGCCATAGCAAATTCACAGGTTCAGAGTTTAGGATGTAAACATTTTTGGTGGTCATTGTTCAGCCTACCACAATTAAATTAAATCACTAGATTTAAAACAAAACATGGTGAAATGTCACTGTGTACCTTCCAGGATGGTTACAATAAAATACAGTGACAACACCATATGTTGACGAGTATGTGAAAAAAATGGATCAATCATTGCTGTGATTTGGTTGTGGTTGTTCCCCAGGGATCATTGTTAGAGGCATGGTGTTCAGGGTGGTGGTGTTCAGAGGTTGGAACTAGTGGGAGGCCGATAGGTCATTAGGGGAGCTGCTCTCAGAAGGGTTAATGCTAATCTCAAAGTGAGTGAGTTGTTCTCATGAGAGCAAGTTGTTAAGCATCCCTTTCTGGCCTTTGGTCTTGCTGGGTGATCCCTCCCATTTCCATACTTTTCACCATGATGCCATGTGCCTTGTGGTGGAGCCAGGAAAGGTCCTTTCCAGAATAGAGCATGCTCTGGGTCCAGAAGAGTGAGCTAAGTAAACCTCTTTACTATATTACACAGCCTCAGATATTTTGTTATAGCAACATAAAATGTATTAGTAATACTCATGAATTGTTGGTGGGAATATAAAATGTTATGGCTACTCTGGGAAACAGTTTGGTAGTTTTTTTTAAAACCGGAAAATATATCATTCATATATATATATATGAATGATATATCCCCAAACAGAGAACAACCAAGATACCCTTCTGGGGGGAAGGGTTAAATGAAGTATAGTACATGCTTACAATATAATATTATTCAGCAATAAAAATGAATTAATTATTGACACAGGCAACAAATGTCTAGGATAGTGTACTGAGTGGTGGGGGGAAGCTAATCCCAGGAGATTAGATATTGTTTGATTCCATTTATGTACACTGTAAAACTGACAAATATAAATGGAGTCCAGACCGGTGGTTGCCAATGTTCAGTAGCAGTGAGGGTGAGAGATAAGTGGGTATGGCTAAATTGGCTGCCTGAGGGACCCTTGGGTTATGGAACTATTCTGTATCTTGAGAGCATCAGTATCTTGGTGGTGACATTGTACTACAGGTAGTCCCCAACCTACCATGGTTTGCTTTTAGATATTTTTTTACTATGGTATGGTGAAAAGCAATGCATATTCAATAGAAAAACTATACTTTGAATTTTCATCTTTTGGGGCGGGGTAGCAGTATGTGGTGTAGCACTCTTTTGTCATGGTGGGTAGCAGCAGTGAGTCACAGCTCCCAGTCAGCCACATGATCAGAAGGGTGCACAACCTGTGCTTTTCTGTGTACTGTGTTGCTGAGCTATGATGTTTGGTAAGTTAAGTGTATATTTCAACTTATTATGTTTTCATCTTATGATGTGTGTATCAGGACACAAACCTATCATAAGTTGAGGAATATATTACACTGTATATTACACTGTAGTTTTACAAGGTGTTAGTTACCATTGGAGAAAACTGATCAAAAGCTATATGACATTTTTTTTCTGTTATTTCTTACAGTTGCTTGTGAATCTTTTATAATCATCTCAAAATTTAAAATCTAAACATTTTTTTAAACTTATAAGATGTAACTAAAGTCATGCTCAGAGGGAAGTTCATAGCCTCCCTTACAAGTATTTAAGGAGAAAAGATAGAAAAAGTAGAGCAAATTAGCACAACCCCCCCCCCCCAAAAAAGAAGAAAGAGGTAGAAATCAAGGTGGTGGGGAACATAAGACTGGGAAAAACTACAAAGCTAAAAATGTTCATTGTTTTAAAAGGTTGATAGAATCATAAAGTTTATGAATCTCTTTCAAGGTAGATCCAGGAAAAGAAAAGTACTAATGTTTGAAGAATCTACTGATGTGTTTTTATGTTGATATTGTATCTGGGACTTGGTATATTCTCTTATTAGTCCTAATAATTAGCAGTCTATATGGCATTTTCTAGGTAAATGGTAATTTGTCTGTAAGTAATAATACTGTTATTCTGCTTTTCTTCCTTTAATTCTCCCCCACATCATGTTGTATTGACAAAAACTTTTAGTATGATTGTTTCAGTCAGCTTTTCACTGCTGCTACTTGAAGACAAACCAGAACAATTGTAGAGGAGGAAAAGTTTATTTAGGGGCTCATGGTTTCAGAGTTTTCAATCCATAAAGAGCAGGCTCCATTCCTCAGGGCTCAAAGTGAGACTGAACATCATGGAGGAAGAGTGTGGCAGAGGGAACCAGCTCACATGATCCAGAAGCACAGAGAGAGGTTACAAATATATACCTGCCAGATACAAATATATACCCAAAGCCACGCTCCCATTTCCCACCTCCTCCAGCCACACCCACCACTTTAGTTACCACTCAGTTAATCCCTATCAGGGGATTAATTCACTGATCGGTTTAGGATTCTCACAACCCAGTCATTTCTCCTTTGAACCTTCTTGCCTTGCCCTACACGTGTGCTTCTGGGGACACCTCACATCCAAACCATAACAATGATGTCGAATGTCAGCAGTGAGAGTGGGCAGGCTTGTATCCCTGCTGAATGTAATGTGGCACCTCTGCTCTGTCATCATGAAGAATGTGGTCATTAATGTCGGTTTCTAAAATCAAGAAAAATTACTTATATTTCTAATTTGTCAAGAGTGTTCTGTTCTGATTTATTTTGTTTTGACATATATGTCTGGTAAATTTACCAAATGAGTTTCAATATCAGTTAAATTGATTTTTTCCCCTTTTTCTCTCTTTTTGAATTACATCAATAGATTTTATAAATTTTAAATTTTTAAATTATATTTCATTTAAACTGTCAGTTTTGGCTAGAATGATGTGAGAAAACATTTAAAGATTTGTATTTTTTATTATAGAAAACTTTCGTCAAAGGAGATGGAGATGACATAGCAGTAAACTCAGTAGTTGACCAAAGGTAAAGTATTACCACAAAAATGTGATTTTCTTAATTATATCAATTATCATTTAAAGGTTTCTTTTAGTATTAGGGAAGTTTTGTCATGGTCTGCTAAGTTCGTTTTAAGTGACTTGTATTGAACTGATAAGAAACGCAAGTGTTACAGAGTCTGTAAGAGTGATTCACTGCAGAGGGTGATTTGGCCCCTGTCCCCCAGGAGATGCTTGGCAATGTCTGGTAACATTTTTATTTCTTACCACAAGCAAAGCCCAAGGACAGGGACATAGCAACCAGCATCTACTGCGTAACAATCAGGGACACTATTAAATAGTCTAAATGCTCAGGAGCAGCTCCCTATCTCACACATGACAAAGAACTTTCAGTCCAAAATATTGATTGTGCTAAGATTTAAAACCCTTAATTTAGGAAAAAAGGCCAGGTATTGATTCCTATTAAATGTTGATGTGTAATTTATTTCACTTGTTAGATACTTATTAAGCTAAATAGCATTTAAAATATAGCATATTCATTTTTTTCTTTAGCTTTTTGGCTCCTCTCATTACTGAGTATGATAAACAACTAGAAGAGCTAAATGGCCAGCTGAAATATTATCAGGTATGAAATCTTAATTATGAATCTTTTTGTAATATTTTATTTTGAAAATATTAAAGATTCACATTCTTTTAAAAAATTGTCAGAAATAAAATATTTTGCTATAGTCAATCAATTCGTGGCTCTCTGTAAGCATGCATGTGTGTTTAAAGTTTCTCTTCAGTTTTGTTTTTTAATTCAGTATTTCCTTGCTCAGTATTTCCTTGTCTGGCAGGAACATCTTAGATGCTTAGTAGAATCTTTTGGTCACATTATTGCTTGCTTATATGCTTTTCTCTCTCTCAAACTAACTCATCCTTTAAGACCCTTATTATTTTCATTCTACCTGTCTTTCTTACTGTTTGCATAATGGACTTTCCTCTCAATTTGAAATAGTGTCTCAGTCAGATGCTTTTGTTTATATTTTTACATATTTTTATTAATCCACTTCTAATATAGACTTGAACTGCAACAGTTTTTTTTTTTTTCCTGAAATCCTCTTAGCAATGAGCGCTTATTTTAGGAATGAAGGGAAAAAGAAACACAGAAAGCTGTCTCTTCAGACAGATTCTGGGTTCCAGGGCTTCTGAAACTAAAATCATGGAAAATTAGAGTAATAGCACAGAATTGTTCAGTGTACAATCTGAGTTTCAATGCATTACATTTTTAGAATATAACTAATATTTATAATGTGTTTCTTTGAACTGAGAATGTCTTTTACATTTTCTCCCCCAAATTTTTGATACTGGGATAATAATACAATAGAAGCATTTCTTAATTAAAATTTACACATCTGAAGCTAGGCCCACCAGCTGGCAATGACTTCTCTTTGTTAGAGCTTGAATATACTCATGATTGTATTTGGCTAAGATACCAATCCCTGGATCAGTTTTGTTGTGGAAAGGCAAGCAGGGTTGACTTAATTTAGTGCAGATGGAAGAAAGTATAATGAATTGACATAAAAACAACCCTTGAGACTGATTTTTCTCAGAATGGCACTTTAGACATGGCAGACACTAAGCACTTGCTGTCTTCATTACTTTTCTCTTTATGCATTGGTAGGATAAGATCCTGTGTTATGCTTTAAAGTATAGCCCATAGTAGGTCTTTAAATATCTGATGAATGATTAAATGACAAGGCTTATGGAAACATGATGGTTAGAGCTAGTTTAACATTCTCTTATTTTTCAATTAATGGATTAATATGTAGCTTTACTGAGAGAATACATGCTTACAATTCCTAAGAATAAAGTTAAGTTATTCTGTTGCATTTGGAAATATGTAGACTTCCATTTACAAAAGATTATTCCTCTAATATATAAAGGTAAAAAATGAACCTAAGTTTCAAAAACAGGCTTTTCTTTAAATTGCATTTTCTATTTTATCATAAGCCAATTCTTAATTCATTTTCTAGTCTTTATTATGTACTTTTTAGCCTGTAGTCATTTAAATTTAAGCTAACCACAATAATGCCTTTTCATCTTTCTAATTGAAAATTGATGAACAACAGAAAGCTTTTTTTGCACAAATGATGTTTTGCTTTTATCTTTAGTGATTCTAAAGTTTTTGTGAATCTGCTCTCTATAAGTTGCTGAAATGGCATATTATGTGCTCTAATAGTTATAGCATAGAATAACTTATTATCTTGAAATTAGTCTTTATACTTTTTATTATAAGTTTCATGCATCCCTTTAGTCAGCTATTTTACTACAGTGTTTAGTTTCATTTTCATTTAGCCTTCTCACCATCTAAAGGTGATTACTAAATTAATTACTAGAAAGTCCAGAATCTATGATGATAAATAGTTGTTACTTATTTTAGAGACGAAAAAAAGATATTGACAGCTTCTTCTAGAAGCACTGCTCAAATCGATATTATTAATTAGTAGAACTAATTCTTATGACTTACTGACTTGATCCAAAAATAGTCTATCTTCAAAGCAGGAAAAGAATTGCTGTAATTCTCTATAGAAAGATTTTCTGCCAGAAAAAAATGTAAATAGTAGGGGGAAATTAGATTTTGTGAGAACTACTGTGTCAATTTCCTTCCCTTTCAAATAAATGTTTTGAAATATTTTACAGTAAAGATTTTAAATGTAGCCATTATTATCCATCTATAAATGTAACTGATATATATGTATCCTTTGTAAGTTTTTGCAAATAAGAAATACTTTTCAAGAAACACGTATATCTAAAAAATTTTTAAAGATCAATTTTTTAAAAAGAATTTTTAAATAAAGATAATTGCTATAGTAAAACCCAGATCTTTTGGCAGCACATTGAAGATCCACATCTTCCTTTTCCAGTTTTATTTCTTACTCCATGTCTGGTCAGTGCTCAGTTATCTGGTAGTAAGTTAATTCATTTTGGTTTAAGTGTGATTCAGGCATAGCAGGGTTCTGGGAAAAATTCACCTTTCACACCAGCTTTATAATAAAGTTAGAATTGAGTATTGCTGCTTTCTGAGAGCAAGCTACCTTGAGCTTCTCTGGTTGGAAGGGAGAGAGGAGGACTTGGAGAATTGTCTGTCCTATGTGTCTTTTGCCAGGGCTCACTCCAGCCTGGCTCCTGTCCTTCACCAGGGTGCACAATCAAGATCAATGGGCATGTCCAAGTTGATGGCACTTTCAAGTGTAATTTTTACCTGGCCTCCTTCTTCCACTCACCCATTTATTCTTGTTGAGAGCCAACTAGTTATTATTTGCCTTTATGCTTTTTCTTATAGTTCTCCTTCCTTTTTGTTTTGAAATCCTAGGAGTCCCTTTATTCCCTCAGAGAAAGTTCATCAAAACTTCAACTTGTTCCCTGTGCAGGATGTGTTTTGTTCTTCAGAATGTGTTTTATTTTTAAACTCTCTTTCCTGCTAAGTATAAGTCAGTGACCATGCCTGATTTCCACAGCAGCCTTGCATAGTGCAAAGGTATAGATAGTTAATGAAGCTGCTGAGTCAGAGACTAAATGAATGGCTGCTGAAGAAAACCAAAATGCTCACACTTAAGGGGGCTTCACCTAAGCTGAATTAAGATATATCCAAGATATGGGAATCATCTGGTGTTTGTTATAATGTGATACTGAGAGGTAACTTTCATCCTTTTTTCATGGCTACAAATGTTAGGAATTATATGTACAAATATTTTTCAATGTATTACATAAAGTATTTTATCTTATTTATAGCCTATTCAAAGTGAATGTTTTCTTATGTTCTGTGAATTATCAAACTATTCACATTTAAAGTTGATTATTAAAAGTAATGAGTAAGTTTATCTTAGACTAATATTAAGTCAGATTGCTTCCATGTGAATAGACTAGTTGATGGAGATTTAATCATCTGGAAAATGTATCCTTACACCATATCTTATTCTTTCAGCAACAGATGGGTGAGATGAAACTACAACTTGAAAATGTCATCAAGGAAAATGAAAGGTAGGTCATTTAGCTTTTGGTTCTTTTTTTGCTGTTTTTGGCAACTTTCAGTTTTATATTTGATACATAAAATCTACTGGTTAAAGGACTATGCTCTGGCATCTGATTTTTGTTGTTGTTGTTGTTCTATTCCTGGCTCCAATTCTTGTGACCTTAAGTAAATTATCGAACTTCTTTCTGCTTAGTTTTCTCATCAGTGAATTGGAAATATTAACGAAACCTTTTTCATAGGGTTGTCTGTAAGGATAAAGCCTTTTTTCAAGGACTTGAAATAGGGCACACAATAAGTATCTTATAAATGTAATCAATTGAGTGTCATGTATTATATATTTTAGGAAACATACTGATAAAGCAGAAATTTGTCAACCCCCATCCTGCTTAGGAGGGACTAAAAATGTTGCCAGTACTGATATGTCTACCCATATTTTCGTCCCTGTTTCCATTCTTCTTCCCTTTGCCAGAAGTAAACACTATCATGAATTTTGTTTATCTCTGTTTAAAAATTTTATAGGTGTGTCTATCCACAAACAATATGTTGTTTAATTTTTCATGTTTAAAAACTATATAAACATCATGTCATCTAGTAGTCTGGTACTTACTTTTTTTCACTGAATATCATTCACAAGTACGAGAGTTTCCAGGGATGAAATTACTATGTCAGAGATTATACAGCGGTTTAACCTTACAATATAATACCAACTGAATTTTCAAAGTTACATTCTCACCAGTGATATTTCTAACTTTATATTGACCAATACATTTTACTAGCACTAGCTCTTATCAACCTTCTTAAATTTTGTTACTTTGTTCATTGTGGTTTTAATTTACGTTTTCTAAATACTAATATGGCTAATCATTTTTCATGTTTGTTTACCCATTTGGTTATCTTTTCTCATGAAATATTTATTCATCTTTCCCATAATTTTCTATTTATCTTTTTCTTATTAAGATGTCTGTATTTCCCTTACATGCCTCCTAGTGGTAAAATTTTAATCTTATCTGTAACTCCAGCTTCAGAGATATCTAAGAAATATAGTTTCAGGCTTTTGGCCACTCTTATAAGAGACAGAAATATGGAAATGAACAGAAATGAATAATAAGCGGCAATTATTCATACAACATAGTAGACCATAGATGTTTAAAATATCTATTCCCAGGTTACAGGATTTGAGGAACAGAACTTTCTATCTTTTTCTTTCAATCTTAAGGTAGTGGAAAAAACTATCTTAAGATCTTTATTGGGAATATAAGGAAATTCTAAAAAGCTTTCTGTTTTTAGAATCAGAAAACAGAAAGAATATAAAGTTAGTACTTAATAAATTAAAGTGATTTATTTTGCATTATTGTTTAATAAGTTTGTTGGTTTTTGTTTTCTGATATATAAAGTTTTAAAATTTGACTTCACTTTTCCTGATTATCATATCTTTAGTGCCAATGTTAGTCAGAAATGTTCAATTAATATTTGTTGTAGTAACATAAAACATTTATATATATTCATATTTACATATATATTCCTGTTTAGATCTAGATGCTTCAAGAAAGAGAGGCTCATGTTATTTTAAAGCAGTTGGAATATATAACGAGGAAATATATGTACTGAAACTGGAACTGGGAAAACATCAGGATCATCACTGAGGATATGCTCCTCTTTCCAATTCACAGGGTCTCACCCTGCCTTCTGTGTAGCAGCTACTTCCACTCTTCTAACCAAAAGGAGAATTCTGTCTCTTCTATAGTTCAAATTCAAGACACCCAATCCTGTTGGTTTAACCAACTACCAACACTTGTATTCATCAGAGCTCTTCATACCAGCCAGCTTATGGTAGACCTTGATTGATAGGGCTGCCCTTGACTTAATCATTGACTTCCCTGTACACAGTATAGCTCATGCAGTTTCCTAGAGTCATGGGCTATGGACGGGGTGACTTAAGTCTGGGCACGGCAGACACAGTAACTACAACATATCCTTGTAGATCAGGATGCAGTTGTGAAAAACCTTTCTCTGACTGGAGATATCAGATAAGGCTCAAACTGCTGGGTGAAATTCAAGATGACTCTTTCAGAATAAGTGGTATTTCATTAGCTGAAAATAAAATAAATTACAGGTCTATTAATATGGCTATACCTCTGCATATTTAGGGAAATTATTCATGATGAGACTTGGATGGGGAGTGGGGACCAGATTACACAAGATTTTACATATTTTGCTAAGGAGTTTGAACTTTTCCTACAGATAGCAGCAGTACAGTGAGCCCTTGAAGGATTTTAAGCACAAGAGAGGGTGAGGGTGCACTTTAGAAGGATTGTTTCCAGTTATACTTCAGAGCTGGAGAATACCCTTCCTTGGAGTGGCCTAAGAAGAGAATCAATAATTTGCCTTCTCAGGCTATTCTGCATTAACCCCCAAAATAAAGCCTGCCCCATAGTCATGGTGTGGACATTGTCACTGAGCAGGCTTGGATTTAGAGGATGAAGAAAGTTTGTCCAGTGAAAGGAGAGGTCACACAAAGCAATTGTCTAGAATGTTTTGTGTTTATGTATATTTGTCTAACTCTCTCTTCTGTCTCATTTAATTGATTCTAAGATGTACTTTCTCCCCTTTGTCCATTTTAACACCTCCAAAGTGAGATGTATCCAGAGTCCATGGCATGTCAAAGGTTGTAGGCAGCAGTTTTTCTTTTTCTTAGTACATAAAAGAACAGTACATCTTAATATCAAGAACAAATCCAGTTCAGAGACATATAGGCTGGAATTGTGTTTGAGTCTTCTTTGTCTTTATTACTCACATTATAGCTGGCATCAGATATAGTAGACACCCTCTTATCTTCTGACAGACTAGTTGGTTTTTTGTTTGAGAGTCAAAAAACTGGTGGATAATAAAAAATAGATAATTTAAAAATTTTGACTTTGAGTTAATATAAAGGAACGTGCATTCCTTAATTTTTTGATATGCCAGGGTCTTAACTTTAAGTCTATTAATTGTAGTTTTTTGTTGTCTGTCATGTGTAGACCATATAAGTGTATTTCATTTATAATTTCCTTTTCAATTTCTTTGAAGAAGAATGAGAATTCAGAGATCCTCTTTATTTCCTTTTAATCCTATGTGACTGTAATTTTTCTGACTTCTTGTAATTAATTATCTTCACTACTTCCATTTTAACAGCAATTGTTCAATTTATATTTATTGAGATTTTCACATTTGGCTTAGGTTTCACAGAAAAAACAACTTCTATACTTTTATTAGTTTGTGTCATATTTAATTCAATTATGCAGTTATAATAACAAATTTTGGCAGATATTTTAGCTTGACTTAAGATCTGCTGCAACCTCCTTTTAATATGTTTTCCTATACTTCAGAGGCTGGAAAACTGTTAACTAGTCCAGGATATGAATTGGGTGCTGCTAATGATAAGCACTTGAAGAGACCTACATTGAGACTCAAGTAGGAAGAGAGGCTGAGCCTCTGGCATGTATTTGATTGTGAGGATCTAACAAGTGTAGTATGGCTCTTGAGCCCACTGCTTTAGCAGTCACATCTCTCACAGCTGTGACAGGGTGCTCCTGTGAATGTCAACTCTGCCAGCAACTTCCTGATCTCAGGATCTCAGCCAAACAGGTGTGATCCTGTAACCACCAATTGGTATAACTATTTCCCGATAGTCCAGCTTTCTCACAGTGGCCAATCTACCAGTTCCCTCAACAAACTAGTTCTGCAGTTAGCTAAACCAGTAAGATTGACTTTTTCCCCCAGAATTTGTAGTGCACTATAGAAACCAACTAACTAATGGTAGCAGCCAAAAAAGCAACTATGCATGTTACTATTGGATGTGTGGTACTATTAGAGTTATTAATAACAAGGATAACACTGTTTGCCTCCTGGAATCTTTACATGATTTCCCTTCTTACTATCAAGCCAAGTAAGTATGATAGAATTTTCTCCTTTCTATTTTCCTATGGCTCTTCCATTTTGATTTGTTTGTGTATTTGAATGAATATAAATAGAACCATAACTGTCTTATTAACCTGTATATAATCTGTTCAGATATTTGTTGAACTAAAATCATGGACTTTTATGGATTTTTTTTACCATACTGCATTGCCATTTTTTCATTGCTGTGGCCAAAATACCTGACAAGAACAACATAGAGGAGCAAAAGTCTATTTTGGCCCAGTGTCAGAGGTTAGCCCATGGTCAGCTGAGTGCATGGTTCTGGGGCCAAGGTGAGGCAGAACAGCATGGCAGAAAGGCATGGTAGAGGAGCACTGCTCCATTCATGGTGGCCAAAAAGCAAAGAGGGAGGGGAAGGTGCCCCAGGGAAGAAGAGCCCCTCCAGGCCACACCCTCTGTGACCCATCCCATCCAGCCATGCCCCGCTGGTCTACAGTTACAATCCATTTAGACCATTCTAACTAGGTTACAAAGCTCCCATATACTAATCATTTCACCTCTGAATATCCCTGTATTAACATAGGAGCTTTAAGAGTACATCTCATATTCAAACTATAACACATACATAAAAATAAATAATATCTTAAAATAGATTAACTCCCTAAACCTTTATGGTACTTTAGTGGTTTTTCTCAATTATATTGCTAATATCTTTGTAGAATCAGATAAAATTTATCTAATCAGTATTTACAAATATGTATTTGTATGTTTCAAAGAAAACAAGGCCAAAAATAAGCAAGGACATAGAGAATATAAGGAGCTCGTTCCAAGTATATGTGCATGTGTATATCTTTTGCAAAAACTCATGTATTAGCCAACAACAATATACTTTATTTTTCAAAGATGCTTGAAACGTTTACATAGTTATAAATTGCAAGCCCTGCCCACCACATGCACACATACAAATTAAAAAAAATAAATCACGCCTATAATAAAATAGCAAAAGATGGACACAAAGAATTTCTCTTTACTACATTTTCAAATAACTTCAGATAAAAAGAATCAAATACTAAAATTAAAAACTACTGAAAATGGACAGACTAGGCATGTCAGTGCACATCTATAATGCCAGCTACTTGGGAGGCAGAGTTAGGAAGATCCCTTAAGCCCAAGGGTTCTGACCAACTGGGTGACATCAGATCTTGTCTCCAAAAAAGAACAGAATATCAAACTAATGAGATATAGCCAAAATAGTTCTCATAACAATTTGTCATTTTTAATAAGTTGAAAATAGATAGTATTGTTTCCATTAAAGGCAGAATAGGTAATTAGTCTTCTTACGAGAAAAACTATAAATCTGGACAAAAAATAATAAAAATCAAATCTGTTTAAAGGAATGAGAATTAGTGAGGTATTATAGAAGTAAGAACAGGAAAAGAAAGAAATGCAGAAATGTAAGCCTGCATTTGGGACTTTTTTCCCCTGGTGGTATACTGTCCCTAAAGAGGTGGAAAGAGGTTTAAAAACTAAGATGAACTTGAGACAAATTTACATGGCTAGAAAGGTGAATATTGACTTTCACTGTCCATGGAATTGTAATAAGATAGCCTAGGAATAGGAGTGACTCCAAATGGACTGATGTAAAAACGTGCCTCTAAAGGGTCTTGACTCTTTGATATTGACATAAAATGATCAGGATTCGAGAAAAAGAAAGAAGATCATTTTAAAGGAAGATGACATCATTGTTAGGCCACAAAATATCAACCGAACTTTTTTATATGTAATAATATAGCTTATATGTGGCATAAAAAGAACAAGTGACTGGAAGATTAGAGTTAGCACGGTAAAACAAGGTTCTAAATCATAAATAATGGGAAATAGAAACAGATCCACAGGCTGGTCTCCAAAATATGCTTAATAGTTTCAATGAAATGAGATACAAAATTGAAAACTTTGATATGAGAACTAAAACCTTTTTTAAAAAAAGGACCAAATACAAATTCTAAACTGAAAAAACATACATTACTAGAGATGAGATGTAATTGAAGAGAGAATTAGTGGAATGCTTCAAGATCAGAGAGACAAGTGGAGAGAATATAAGAGTAAGGTAAGAGATGCAGGGAAAATAGTGAAAAGAGCTAAAATTCATGAGTATTTAACCCTTAAACAACATGGGTTCAAACTCTGTGGGTCCACTTAGAGATTTTTTTTAAAAAATGAAGTAGATTTCCAACAATTTGAAAAAGTTGGCAGATTAACAAACTATGTAGCCTAGAAATGTTTTTTAAAAGTATGTCATGGATGCATAAACTATATGTAGATAAGAGTATATTTTACCATTTACTATCATAAAATCTACTCAAATAAACGGTAAAATTTTATTAAAACTTACAAAGACCATACATGGCACCATTTATAGTTGAGAGAAATAAAAACACATGTAATGATACATAATTAGATCTTTGTTTTATTATTTTGTCCATTTCATTTGCTATTGATTTAAAATCATAGGGAGAATTGATAGATTATGATGCAGTAAATTTTTGATGAAGAAATATATGTCATTAAAATGTTTATAGAAAAACTTTCATAATAGAATGTAAATATTTTAATAATAGTTTCAAAGCAGACTATATCAGCGGCATGACAAAAATCTATTTGTTTATTTTTAACAGTAAAAATTTTGCTATAAAATACATTCTGCTAGAAAATACAGCATTATTGTTTTTCCTCTGGAATTGAGCATGTCTTTCCTGAAATCTTACCATATTTCTGTTCATTTTTCTCTATTAAACATAATTTTATATCTATATGACAAATCTTTTAAAAATACTGTTGGATATCTTAAAATAAAAACATTCCTATTATTGATACTTCTAAGTACTTTTTAATTATAAAATAATTAGCAAGTCTTGTCCTTCCTTAGAGAGTAATTTTCATTATTTTTAAAGTAATTATTTCCTTCATTTTATTATATTTGAGAACTTTGTTTTTTCTAGTTTCAGAGGAGATTTGTAGTATGAGATACTTAAAGTTTTAAGTGGATAGGATGTGACTTGCATTTTCACCTTGAGATATATTTGCTATAAATAATATTTTATGGTAGCAATTATATTAAATATGTATTTTCAAAATTTTTTAATATTATAAAATTTGATTCCTTTTAGTTTTATATGATTAAAAATTATATAAAACTATATATATAAAAGTCTCTCAAGTTGTACTTTTACATAAAATTAAAGTCTCAAGTTGTACTTTCCTATCTTTTTTTTTTTTGGTAATTGTTTTAAAGCTTGAAATATCTGTAATTTAATATTAAGATTAAAGGCTGCCTTTATTTTTTTTATGTGGTGCTGAGAATCGAACCCTGGTCCTGCCCATGCAAGGCGGGCACTCTACCACTGAGCCACAATCCCAGCCCCACTGCTCTGTTTTTTAACTGAACTAGTTAATTCAGATGAGTTTTGCAAAATACATTGAAGAAAGTAACAAATAATTCTGCAAGATATAAAGTGCCATATATCTGACTACATGATACTAACACTTGAAATTACTTTCTAAAATGGCTTGTTTTTATCATTTACTAAGGTGTAACATCTGAATTTTGCCTTTTTTTCTTGAAAAAATAAAATCAAGGACAAATTGAGCTCTGCTTCAGTTAATTATTACAATTTTAATGCATTTGAAATTGTTCATCTTTTTTTTAAAAAACACAGCATTTAATGGTGATTAAGCACTTTAAATGTTTTATTTGAAGTCTACTTAAAAATTGTACAAAGAATTATTTTGGAGCCACGTGTTTATTTAATTGATCCCCAAACAGTAATTACTGCATTAAAATAAATTGAAATTATTGCTACATTAATTGTTTTTCCCAAAGGTTGCACAGTGAATTAAAAGAAGCTGTTGAAAAGCAATTGGAGGCCCTTCCCTTTGGCTCAGAGATAGGAAGTGACATATATACAGATGAAGAAACAGTCAAGAACCTTCAAGAACAACTGCAACTAGCCAATCAAGTAAGTGATGGTATCTTTTAAAGCTTTAGACTGATTTTACAGAGATTTTTAAAAGTTTGTGCTTTATATTATTTATGAGTGATAGAAAGTAACAAAATTATTGGCACTTAATGATTTTCTTTAATTTGTCAGAATTGCTTTTAAAAAAAAAAAAACCTTGTATAAATACCATTTGGTATTTGCCCAGTATACTTTTTAAAAAATATATATATTTTTTTTAGTTGCCAATGGATTTTTTTACTTTATTTGTTTATTTATATGTGGTGCTGAGGATCGAACCCAGGGCCTCACACATGCCAGACAAGCGCTCTACCACTGAACCACAACCCCAATCCCCCCCAGTATCCTTTTTAACTGAATCATAAAGCTTTTGATATGATTAATTTTTTTGTTCTATAAGAATATTTTAATGTGAAAGGAAATTTTTAAAAGAAAACCACATTAGCTGGGTATAGTATTACATACCTGCAATCTCAATGAATTGGGAGACTGAAGCAGGAGGATTAAAAGTTCAAGGCCAGCCTCTACAATTTAGCAAAACCATGACTCAAAATTAAAAAAAAAAAAAAAAAAAAGGTTGAGAGTGTAGATTAGTGGCAGAGTGTCCCTGGATTTAGTGCTTAGTACCACACACAAAAAAAATAATAAAAGAAAATAAATAAAAAAGAAAATAATTTTATCCCACCTCCTTAAGTTTACATTTTTCATTTTTCTGTGTTTTCTTCTGATATTCTTTTATTCAATTTTCAAAGGTTATACTATTACATTTTTCTAAAGTCATAGTTCTCTTAGAATTATACTTTTTCTCTTTTTTTCTTCCCTCATAGTGATTAAAATCTATGGGAAGCTGTAACTGTGTTCTACATATCCTGTTTTTCAACACCATAAATTTTTGTCAGTTTATACATAGAAGAATTTATTTTACAACTTCATATTCTAAGTGTCTCACATCTTTCAATTGCTATTCTGCTATTTTCTAGCTGTGTAATTATAGAAAAATTTCTTTGGACCTCAGTTTCCTCACTTATAAATGGGGTTAGAATCATAGATCACAATTTGACTTTATAATTATCAGTAAAAAGTCACATTCTTTGGGAGTTTGGTTTTGAAATTCTTTGCTTATGAAAGTGATATTTTAGTTAAGTCAGAAAGGCTATATTTGTCTTGAAAAGAAACATGTATTTAACATTGAATTTTTTAAAAAAAAAAAGGTAAATTGAGGGAGTTTAAAAATCAATTAGGAATAAATGATGAGGAAAGCATAGTCTTTGTTCCAGACTAGGAGGGATTTACAGTCGTTTTTATGAAGTAAGTAAGTGGAAATTAGCTTATACTTAAATGACTTCTTACCAAATATTAAATCTATCCTTCAAAAGCTGTGGCACTGTGTGCACTTCTTACTACTTCAGAAGTATTAAGAAACCCATTAAACAGAATTGTCAAAATGTCACTTATGCTTATTACTTATAGAGGACCTATTTTTGCATTTATTTATGAAAGTCTTATAAAACACAAACAATTGCATTTTTATCCATTACTAATTGAAAGAACTTGTGTCATGTATCAAAATTCCATGAACCCAAACTAATCAGATAAAAATTAAATATAATTTAAAGTCAAATATTGGGAGAAAAAAAGAATTCTTAGTAACATTATGCTTCATCAAAGTACAGCCAGCCCTTTGTATCTTTGTATTATATATCAGTGAAGCAACTATGGATCAAAAATAGCTGGAAAAGCTGGGTGCAGTGGTGCACACCTTTAATCCCAGCAGCTTGGGGGAGGCTGAGACAGGAGGATCCTGAGAGTTCTAAGCCAGCCTCAGCACTGCTGAGGCGCTAAGCAACTGAGTGAGACCCTGTCTCTAAATAAAATACAAAATAGGGCTGGGGATGTGACTCAGTGGTCGAGTGCTGCCAAGTTCAATCCTTGGTACTCCTCCCCCTGCCCCCCAAAAAATAGCTTGGAAAAATTTTTTTCTGTACTGAACATATACAGACTTTTGTGTTATTTATTGCCTAAGCAATCTGTCATCAAAGTATGTAGCATTTATATTGTATTAGGTGAACTGCAGATAATTTAAAGTATACAAGGTGATACACTTAAGTTATATACAATTATATATACTTAGGTTATATATAAAAGATAATTTAAAGTATACAAGGTGAGACACTTAGATTATATACAATTACTAAGACATTTTACATAAGGGACTGTCATACACAGGTTTTGGTATCTGGGGAGGCAGCAGTGGGATGAGGCCCTGCAAAGGGCACCCTGTGGATACCAAGGGAGGACTGTAACAAGCACGCCATGGTAGACTGCCAGTCTAAACATCTTCATTCTTTCCATGCATATTTATATCTCCTTGTCCCATGGCAGACAGACCTGCTGAGCCAGGTTCTGGCAGTGCAGTAGGGAGTGCTGGTTCCTGCTCTGGGTGCACACAGACTTAGAAGCTAAGTATGGCAAGATGGTGGGTGTTGATTCTAGTCACATTGGTTCCATTTTACTTTCAGACACTGTGAGTGTCTCACCTTCCTCATTTATATATGGAGATTATAATAATTTTTATCTTATGGGGTTCTTATGGCAATTAGGTTTTTAAAATCCCCATAAAGCACTTTATAATGCTGAGCATATATGTAGTTAATTGATTTACTGTATTTTTATTATTACTGAGCAGCAAGATAGACAAGTAAGAATTAAAATCATGTGCAAAAGATATAGTGTAGAGCAAATATATTGCCTTAGAAGCTGATAGCAAAAATACAGTATTAAGTAACTTACTTAATATTTTTAGTTTCGAATATGGTGTTTTGTTACAGTAGTGTGATTTTAAAAAATCTTTGTGGAAGGCAACTTGACACTAAGAACTTTAGAAATGTTTGTATCCTTTGACCAAGTAATTAATTAAATAATGATATCAAGTAGATTCTAGGAACTCTCCTGAAGAGTTACATGTGAAAATATATGAATAAATATGTTTATATAATATTTCTAACAGTGAAAATTTGGAAATAGTTTAAAAATCTAAGATGTAAAATTAGTTAAATTGTGGTTGGTCCAAATGATAAATTCATACTATTTAAAAAAATAATATATTAGTTTTAGGGTTTTGTTTTGTTTTTGCTTTGTACCAGGGATTGAACCCAGGGGCACTTAACCACTAAGTCATATTACCAGTCCTTTGTTGTATTTTATTTTGAGAGAGAGTCTCATTGAGTTGCTGAGGCTGGTTTTGAACTTGCAATCCTCCTGCCTCACCCTCCTGAGCTACTGGGATTACAGGCATGTGCCACCACACTCTCTTAAAAAATAACATACTAGTATATAATGTGGTACTCAAGATTTAGTTTAGTGTCCACCATGATCATCTGAGAGGTTGTTGAAACAGATTACTACTCTCCTAGCCACACTCAAGTTTGTGACCCACGATATCTGAGATATCAATAGTTTGCATTTCTAACAGTTCTGAGATGAGGCTAGTGATGTAGTCTTTTTTTTTAAAAAAATATTTATTCTTAAATTTTAGGTGGACACGATATCTTTATTTTTTTACACTTATGTGGTGCTGAGGATCGAACCCAGTGCCTCATGCATGCTAGGTGAGCACTCTACCACTGAGCCACAACTCCAGCCTGCCTCCATGTTAGTCTTTTGAGAACCCACTAATTCTAGGAGAGTATGGGTTTTGTAACTACTAATGCAAGTGATGCTTGTCATCAGGCAGATTGGGGAAAAAAATAGAACCTTTTGAAGTATGAGACATTTCTATGACTTGAGTCATTAAGAAAATGAAATGAAAACTAAGTTTTACGGATATGAAGAGAATTATCTGGGATTATTCAGCCAAAATTTTTAAGATAACATAGGTGAACTGCAGATAGTTTAAAGATTTCAACCCAAGTCTTTGGGCTTCAGATTCTGTGTAAGTCTACACTTTTTAAAACTATGGTAGTATTTAGGCAAAACCAATCTATGGCATTAGAAGACAGGACCACAGTTTTTTGGTGGGATTCCTGACTTTCATTTGATGGTAATAATGCTCACTCTCTCAAACTGAATGCTGATTTATGACTGTGTTCACTATGAAAGTTCATGATTTCCGAGTTTTCTGAACGCACGTTATACTTCACTAATTGTTTCATAGAAACTCAGAAACCTATATTTACTCACTGTGTTCTTTTTAAAAATGCATACTGTTACCTTTCACCTTCTTACTGAAGCTAAGAGGGTGGATTTGCTCTGACCTAGTATTTGAAAGGTTGGACTTATGGACAAAGCGATGAAGATTTCTTCCAGACTCAGTCAACAACTTGCTGAGGGACCTTAGGCAAGTTACCTGAACCTTGGTTTCTACTTCTATGTAGTCAGTAATGGCCTCTACCTAATAGAGTAGCATTCCTCAACCTTTTAGGTTTTAGGATCCTTCTTCAGAACACTTAAAAATTATTTAGAACCTTAAAGACCCTTTTGTTTTTGTTTTGTGTTTTATATATCAATCAATATCAATTGTATTACAAATTAAAACGTACTTTAGAATTTCTAAGGTTTATTCTTTCTGTGGAACAACTAACAGTTTGTTTTTTTCTTTGTTAACTTTTTTCCTTCTTTTTCTTTATTTTCTTCTCATTATTATTGTTTTGGTGTTGTTGTTGTTGTTGTTGTTTTAAGAGGGGTCTTGCTGTGTTGCCCAAGCTGATCTCAAACTCATGTGTTTAAGTAAGCCTCCTGTAAAATAGTTTTAGTCTTTCTCTCTGATAAGGCTGTGGAATGTGAGAACTAAGATAATTTCAGAGAAAGAAAATTTTCATCTTTGGGATTATTCTCTAAATTATTGTTAATACAATTTTAAAACATCAAAAATTATTACTTGGATTGGAGATGTTGCTGAGAGGTAGAGTACTTGCTACTTTGTGAGAGGGCCTGGGTTTGATCCCTCGTAATATAAAGGAAAATATGTATATAATACAATTGTGATATAGTCATGTACTACAGAATGACATTCAGTCTATGATGGACTGCATGTCCAATAATGGTCCCACAAGATTTCATCACCTCCTCACCAAGTAGCCATTTGTGTAAATATACAATGTTCACCAATGGCAAAATTGAATTTCTCAGAACCTATGCCTGTCATTAAGCCATGCGTGACTTTACCTCTTCATGCAAGTTCTATTTTCAGTCTCTAACTTGATAAGAACTCATTTGTGACATGATCTATTTGCACTATACAGTAAATAGTCTGCTAATAATTTAATGAATTTTTCCCCATAGGAAAAAATTCAGGCTATAGAACTCTGGCAGACTGTTGCCCAGGAATTGGACAGACTGCAGAAAATTTACCAGGAGCACATGACCAAGGCCCAGATTCAAGTATTTGAAAGCCAAAAGCAAAAGGTAGTCTTAGATTTCATGATTTCCTTGTGTGTCTATAAGAAATTGCATTCTGAAGAAACTGTATTAGAGAGGAGTACCAAAGTTTTCTTTACTGTGATTTTATGTTAACAATAAATGGATCTCTGCTGCTCGGAAATCCCTTAAACAGGTAAGATAATTAAAGCACTGCCCCAGTGCACATTTGCTTTTATAATGGGATTAGCAATAAAAGCTGTATTTAGTTCTAAGAAGCAGCTATTAGATTATTTTATATAAATAGAGCTCTGAAGCTTTCTTTGCTTGATTTCCTACCTATTTTCTTTGCTTGATTTCCTACCTATAGAACCTTAGGATATGGTGACAGTGCTGTGTAAAATAAAAATGTTCATATCATTAAATGTGGCCTATTAAAAGTAGATGTCAAGTTTATCTACCATAAATTAATCAATATCATATAATACAAAGAGATCTTAATAGTTATTAAGATAACTGTTTTAACTTTTAACTTTTCCTACCAGAAGCAAAGTCATTTTACATTCTTTCAAAGTGTACAGCTAGATTTTGCTTTACCTCTATCACAAGAACTTGCTGCCTCAGGAGACCATTCCACTGGAAAATCTGCCTTCTTTAATCCTTTGTTGGTTTTTTGACTGCCAAGTACATTGAACACTATGGACAAATTCTAATTCTAACTTCTTTTCTGTGTATCTTGAGAAGCAGTTATTTAGGTTGGTTCTCATACTTTTTTAAACTCCCATTTAGACTTTCTTAATTTTAATTTATGAATATTTCAATAATAATAATTATAGTTAATTCCTACCTGAAGAAGTCATATAACAATGCTCACATGATGCTTTACAGTTTAAAAAAATGACTTTTTCTATACATGCCCTGGTTTTAAATAACCCACATGTAACTTGAGCCATAACTTTTACCTTTCAGGTCTAGAAACCATTTTTTTTTTTTTTTGGTACTACTCCCCAGACTATGTTGTATTTTATTTAGAGACAGGGTCTCCCTGAGTTATTTAGCACCTTGTTCCTGAGGCTGGCTTAGAACTCATGATCCTCCTGCCTCAGCCTCCCGAGCTGCTGAGATTACAGAAGTGTGCCACTGTGCCTGGCTAGAAACCATTTTTTAATAAAAGTAAATTCTTGAGGATTGTTGCCTCCTTTAGGTCAGGGAAACCCATGAGGTTTTTGGTTTTTTTGGTTTTTCACCTGAATAAGATCATTCTTATACTATACCTATGCACTAAGATTTTTTTTTTTTAATATGTGACTTTTTAAATAACACTTAATCTTTATTTCCCTGCTTGCCTATTGATTTGGTTCTGTCTTCCCACTTATTAACAGCCTCTCCCAACTTTGTGTTACCTACACAAATAGTGTTTAATAGGATCATAACAGCTTATCAAACAACTTTATACTTGTAGAACATGAGAATTTTTAAAAAAGCATTGGGCAGTAATTCCTCTGCTGTGGTTTCTTTTGTAGATTTTTTAAGTAGTTTTGAATGTGGTTTTCCAATACTTGACAGGGTTTCTCTAGCATTTGGAATTTATGTCTTTAAGTTTTAAAGTAGTATTTACTAATGGATTGATTTCTAGAAATAATTATTTTTACATGAAACATAAATAGCTACATTAGTATCAACATTGTTTCCTTATTATTTAGTCATTTAAAATTTTTTATTTCTTTGAATATTCACACAGTAATAGAAGAAACACTAAATTTATGCATAATGACTTTAGATTTAATTTTAGTTTTATTTCAAATATGGGTTGCAAAGAAAATGTTATTCATATTCTCCTCCTACCTTCCCACTAGGATCAGCTGACCAGGTTTCAACAGCTAACTACACAACTCAATGTTGGTAAAGAGAGTGCAGAAATGGTAAGTGAAAGATCCATTTTACTGTACTTGTTGATATAAACTAGAAATTGTCACTGTAAATATATTTATTTATGCTGATTTAAATAAAAACCACAAAACATTCATGACATTAAAATAGGTAGACAGTATTTTTTTATCTTTCTCTTATACTTTCAATCATATGACATAGTTCACAGTATCTGAAATATTCCTAATCTGAAGACCCTCTTAGTGTCCTTGGTAAGATCTCCTAAGATCAGTAATCTAGACCTGAACTCTCATGAGTAGACTGTATACTTTATGCATAGTAGTGCATCTAACACCAGGTATATGACAAGGAGAGTACACTTCTTTGTTGAATGAATGAATTGCTCATTTTCTTCAAAAAAATAGGAAACCAAGAACCATGTGTCAATTAATTATCAGTACTAACTTGGATATACCTAAATTTCCCTACAGTCTCCTACAACAAATATAATTAGTTCTTCTAGTTGCATTCTTTACCTTTTTGTTGTCCTACTTGCCTTTTGTTTTCTTTTCTTCTCAGAATTTTACTTGTCTCTATTGTTGAGTAATAGAATGATGACATGCCAGGTAATCTCGCTCCTTCCTTTCTTCACTCTTGCTTATTTACTTTGCTGATTCTTACTAGTATTCAATAAAAATGTCCTTGTTTAAGAGTAGAGTTGCATCATCAAAAGTAAGTTATCCAGTTTTATTCTACTTTAAAATTTTTTCTCCTTTAAACATATAAAATTTATTCAACAAACATCTCCCTGTTCTACTTATACTAACATTAGAATTCTAGTCACTTAGAACTTTTAACAATATATGTCTAGAGTTTTAAAATGCTCATGATGTACTCTAAACAAAATGATTAGTGATTCTTGAAACTAAAAAGAGTATTTTTAAAAATATATTTCTGTAGGAAATTAATACTCTAACCCAATCACAACTATTTATAATTTCTTTTGGTGTATCTCCTAGACCCATGGGAATTATATAATCCTTTGGTACCTTACATACCATACAGATCCTACTTTATTAGAAATAGCCCAAAATGATTTTGATGAAAGAAAGCTATGGAGAATGGGTGTTTGATTACAGATAAGGAATACCTAAAAATCTAAGGCAGAAGAATTCATGGTGTCAGGCCAAAGCTCTGAGTAAATAAAGTGATAAAGGAGTGGCAAGAGGATAAAGGAAAGTGTTATAAAAACCAAAGTAGGGGCTGGTTGTAACCTCAGTGGTAAAGAATCTGCTTAGTATGTGCAATTCCATGGGTCCAATCCTCAGGACTAAAACCAGAAAAATAAGAAAAAAAGGAAAGAAAAACTTTTGTAGCTGGTTAAAATAAAGGAAAATGGTTGGGAAATTTTCAAATGAGTTTTTTTAATATATATGTAAATGTCAAACAAGACTACTAAGTATAAAAGGAGCAGCCTTAAGTGCCCATAAAGATCGTGCATATCCCAGAGAGCACTCAGCATAGTCCGAGGAGCCAGTTTGAGTCAAGATCAAATTTGAAGAAAATTTCCTCTAAAAAATCAAGCAGTTTAGGGGTTGGGGATGTGGCTCAGTGGTGAAGTACTTACCTACTATGTGTGAGGCCCTGAGTTTTATCCCCAGCACTGCCAATAAATAAATAAATATCAAGCCATTTCCATTAAAAATTGTTTTCTGATTACCTGAATAAACTCATTAAAAATGAGTAGGTTCCTAGAGATGTATAATGAATTAATGCATGTGTAGTGAATAAAACTGGGGCAGCATGGCAGAGGAGGGAGAACTGGACCTTCTTTCTCCCCACAAACACTGATTGAATAATTATTCATGGACAAATTTCTTTTGTGAGAAATCAGAAATTAATGAAAAGGCTCTTGCATCCCAGGAAAACGTGAAACCAAACTCCTGGACCACAGGAGGGGGATTTGGACTCTTACTGGAGACTCTGCTTCAAATGAAGCACCATGTTATCTAAAAAGGACCCCCTAACTCCTACCAGCATCCAGAGGAAGTGAGAGTTTGGTATGCACATTAAGAGCCCCAACTTTTCTGAAGGGGCTCCAGACTGCCTTTCATCCTCCCACTTTTGAAGCTCTAACAGATCCAGCAGTCTAGCTTCCCACAGGAGAATGCAGGCACTGACTGGGACTGACAAGTATCCGTGATCCTATTCCTTGCTCACTATAGAGCAAGTGAATGGAAAATCAGCTTTCAGCTTCCCCCTGAAGCAAGAAAGAGATCTGTGTGTCTAACTCCCCAGCTTCTCAAAGGTTTTCCAGAGAACTAGTCTGTCTTGCCAGTGTTAGGGTCTGTTCAATCCACCACAGTCTAGCCAAGCAAGGAAGAGTGGAGAAGATGGCTTGGGATTTTATAGGTCATAGCACACTCCCAGTTTAGCGTAGAGAAGGACAGCAAAATCACAGCTGCCACCCACCATCTTCTTGGGGAGGAAAAGAATTGGTAAAGACCTCCCAAATCTCTGGTTGACTGATTGGTGGGGTCTTCTATTGTAAAAGGCAAGTCTGTAAATACTACGAGGATTATCTGCTTTCTCTAAGACACAAACACCAAAATAGAGTCAGAAAAATAACCAGCCAAAGATGTTTCAAACAAAGGAACAGATAAATCTCCAGAAATCAGTCTTGCTGAAAAAAGGTTGTGGTTTACCTGATAGAGGATTAAAAGTAACTCTTATTAATTTGTTCACCAAAGTCAAGAGAACAATGCATGAGCAATATGGGAATTTCAACAAAGAGAAAATATATAAAAATACCAAACAGAAATCAAAGAGCTAAAGAACACAGTACACTGAACTTGAAAACTTCACTTAAGTTTCCATAGAAGGCTAAGTCAAGAGGAAGAAAGAATGCGAGAACTGAAAAACAAATTAGTGAAATCAAGAACAGCAACTACAACAACAACAACAAAAAGTGAAGAAAAATTGAAGGAATACCATTAAGTAGACCAATATATATATTATGGAAGTTCAAAAACAAGAAAAAAAAAGTACCAGAAAGTGATTCAAAGATACAGTGGTTGGAAACATCCCAAGTCATGATAAGAAAACAAATATTTATGTCCAAGAAACCCAAAGGACCCTACCTAAGACAAATCCAAAGAAATTTACATCCAGACACATTATAATCAAATTTTGAAAGCCAGCATATTTTGAAAGCTTCAAGAGAAAAGCAACTTAGCCATATAAGGGAACCTACAAAATAACAAATAGAAGATTTTTTAGCAGAAACCTTGCAGACCAGAAGGGAGTGGGATGATATTTTCAGAGTACTGAAAGAAGATCACTGCCAAACAATGATTCTATACTCAGCGAAACTCTTCTTCAAAATGAAAGAGAAACAAAACAAATCAGGAGTTTATCACCACTAGATCCATCTTATTCAGAAATGGCAAAGGGAATTCTTTAAGTTGAAAAGAAAGGATGTTAAAAAGCTACACAATAACATAAGAAAGTGTGAAATGTGTTAGCAAAGGGATGTAAAGAATACTGTTTTACTCTAGTAGTGGTGAGTAAATCATTTTTAATTCTGATATAAAAGTTAAAAGGCAAAAGTAGTACAAATATGTTAGAAGATACATAATACAAATAGATGTGAATTGTAACAATAATAACAAATGTGGGAAAGAGAACCTAAATATAATGGTCTTTATATGCAATTGAAATTAGTTATCAGTTTAAAATGCATTAATATGAGGTACCCCCTCACCCCCAACCCCCAACCCCCACACACATACAACCAGTAGTCCCAGCTGAATACAGCAGTGTTGTATTCAGCGTGGCCAGGTGGCCTGTGTAGTTTCATAAGAAAGAGAAAATAACCAGGATATTAACAGAAAGTATCAAAAAATAAGATAATAATAAAAAAAAGACAAAAGAACTGTAAGATTAACTGAAAACAGCCAACAAAATGGCAGTATTAAATCCTTTCCTATCAACAACTACTTTAAAAGTAAATAGGTTAAACTCCTCAGTGAAAAGTGACCCAATGGATTTAAAAAACAAAAAATTATATGCTATGTACAAGAAATTTACTTTATACTTAAGGACACACACATAGGCTGAAAAAAGAATACTTAGCCCATTTTAAAATCAAGTTGTTTGTTTTTTACTATTGAATTATAAAAGTTGCTATAGTATTTTAGAGATTACTTCTTGTTTGAGGTGCCATTTGCCCAGATATTTTTTCCCAGCCCACGGGTTGCCTTTCAACCTACTTAGTCTCCTTTGCTATACAGAAGCTTTTTATTTTGCTATAGTTTTTACTTGATCATTTTTGTTCTAATTGCCTTTGCTTTTGGTGGCATATTCATGTACACGGCTAAGATCACTGTCTCAAATCTTTTCCTCTGGGTCTTCTTCCAGGAGTTTTACAGGTACATGTCCTAGGTTTAGGTCTTTAATCTATTTTTAGTTTATTTGTGCATATAATATAAGGGTCCCATTTATTCTTCTCCCTGTGGACCTCTAAGTTTTCCGCACACCCTTGACTGAGGGTTCCCCGTGCCATCTGTGTATTCTTGGCATTCTTGTCAAGGTCCATTGACACGTATCTGTGGGTTTATTTCTGGGATCACTGTTCTGTTCCACTAGTGTGACTTCATGCCAGTGTCCTCTGTTTTGATCTGTTACATATTTTGTAATTACAAAATGTTTTGCCTCCAGTTCTATAATTGTTTCTGAAGATTGATTTGGCTATTTATGGACTTTTGTGATTTCATATGAATTTTAGGATTTTATTTCTATTTCTGCAAAAAAATTCCATTGGGATTTTGATAAGGATTGCATTGGATCTGTAACTTGCTTTGGGTAGTATGGACATTTTCAAAAATTAAGTTTTTCAACCCTTGAACACAGAATGTTTTTATTTGTTGTATCTTGTTTTCTTTGCTCTGATCGTTGTTATTTTCTTCCTTCTGCTAACTTTGAGGTTTTAAAATTTCCTTCATCAGTGTTTTGTAGGTTTGAGTACATAGGTCTTTCAGGTCCTCAGTTATGCTTAAAAAGAATCACACATATGAATCCTTTAGTATAATGGTAAATGAATGCATACATGGATATATGAGAAATTACATTTCTCTACCTTAAGTCTCAATGTTTCACATTTCCTTTTGTTGTTTTGGTGGGATCTTGCAATATTGCTCAGGCTGGCCTCAAACTCCTGGGCCCAAGTTTTCCTCCTGCTTCTGCCTCCTTAGTAGCTGGGACTCCTGGTGAACACAGGGGGTTAAGCAGCACAAAATCATATTGGCTGTAGACATGCAGCATTCCATCGCTCCACAGTCATACTGTGGCCTGCAGGGTCTCTACTAGAGATAAGGCTTCTTTGGAGGATTTGCATAGGAGGAACAGGCATAAACCCCCTCACACACCATCCTCCAGACACCTTCAGTGGGACAGCAGCCTTCCAGCATCTAAACCCCATCTGTGTGTTTGCTATGGAGACTTCCTTTAGGTACGCGTGACTGCTTAAGTCCTTGACCATTGATGATCAACTCAGCCTTCAACTCCCTTGCCACTCCCTGGAGTCTGAAGTGGAAGGTGGAGGGGTGGTGAAAATTCTAGCCCTCTAATCACATGGTTTGTTCCCCTGATGACCAGCCCCCATCCTGAGACTTTCCTGGGCTCTGCGGCCAAGTCTTCTCATTAGCATATAAAAAGACCACTAATTTGGATGTTCCAAGGGTTTTAGGGGCAGTTTGCCAAGAAATTGGGATTACCAACTCTGTTTCTTAGTATAAATCATAATATCACAGGCCCAATATTCCATCTAGTAGTTTGGTTTTTGTTTTTCACTTTACTTGTATGGTGTAATCTACCTACCTCTCAATATTTTTTTTTCTGATTTTTTGATCTTTTTAATTGTGCTTTGTGAACTTAATACTAAATTCTGGTCTGTGATAATCATCTTTTCCATATAACAACTAAATCCTAAGGCTTGCTTTTTGTCTCAATAAGGTATTCCCTCATTCATTCCTCAAAGGTCTACATGCCTCCCATGTACTGACTCATATAACAGGCTCTGAGAGTTCTGAGAGAAGCAGTACTCAAAAAAGGCTCATATAATAACCAAGAATATGTAAATTTCTAAATATAATATGTAAATTTATAAATATAATAAGTAAATTTGTAAATATAATATGGCTTGCATTGTGAAGTTACAAATTAAATTTTATCTAAATGCAGAAAATAAGTAGTCAATTTAACCTGAGAGTGAGTGCACCAGTCAGGGTGTTGAGGGTTAAATTCAGGCAGAATGTGAGTATCTCAGGAAAGGTAAATCTAATCTTGGGTTAAAAATCTGAAATCAATGAAATTGGATAGAGGATGAGAGAAGCACCTAAAAGCTGCCTTGGGGACTTTAGTAGGAGAGGTGCAAACATGATCTGTTGGGGCAAGAAGAGACTGAAATCAAGACTATCCATCAAGTGGTAACTGTAATATAATGTCTACATTATATTATGTATAATATAATTATGTATAGTCTTGATTTCATTTTCTTCCTGCCCAACATAAATATACGTGTGTCTGTGTTGCCGGAAAGGAATTTGTACCATCACGGTAAAACCAAAACAGATAAAAAGTCACTTCCCTTAAAAAAAGCTTTTCTCCAGGTAGAGGGTTGCCTCATATCTTACTTTGAATTCCTCTGTAAGTAAGTGAACCTGAGGAAAGGGTTCTAAATCATGTTGTTACTTAGGAGATAATACCAAATAACACCAACAAGGGAGTGGGGAAGAGAAGGAAGCTAATAAAGGACTTTTGAAAATTGAGTGAGTTAGCTCTGTGGCTGAAACTTGATACCACTAATGAAATCTGAAAGCCAGGGAAGAACACAGGCTCAGGTTACCAATACACCAACACCTTTAGTCATGCCAGGCGGAACGCTATTCTACATGTGTAGGCTTCACAGGTAGATGAGCAAAAGAGGACCAGGTTTCCAGAGCAAGCAAAGACAGAAACGCAGATCAGGCTGTCTGAACCGAATCAGGTGTCCACTGAAGTAAAGATGAGGAAAGACGACCAGGGACGTGGTTCACCCTCAAAACACAATATCATTCTCATGACTCTCATTTCATTTTTTTCTACTTATATGCCTTATGGTTAATCTTTAAAAATAGTTCTTAAATGTTCTAATACTGATTGTCTTTCTTCTTTTCCTGTGACAGAGTAATCAACACTATCTGAAAGCATTATCCGAACAAAGTGTGGAAACTGAGCAACTCCGAGCACAACTCAGGTATGTTCCAAACTGAATTTTGTTATTTTATTAGTAATTACTTTTTTTTACAGGAGCTCGTGATACCATAATTTGCTTATGGGTTCTTTTTTTTTTCTTCCTTTTATTAAGTATCTGTCAGTAGCTTCTTATATATCTGATCATGTGGGACAGGAAGAGACTAAAATCAAGATGGTTAGTCAAGAAATAATTATAGCATACACGTGGAGGGGTGTGATACAGAAGAAAACTAGTTCCTTTAAGAAAAAATTTTTACATACAGAACACTACTTCCTGTCTTTCTGTGGACTCCTGTACAGTTCCCACATCTGCTGTTTCTCTAGTAGGTAGTACTGAGGAGCACCACCAGTAGAGGAGTGGGGAGTGAGCCAGGGAAGGAAAGTAGAAGGCAGCCAGCACAGATGCTCCTTGACTTATGACGGGTCGTGTCCCAATAAAACCACCTTAAGTTGAAAATACTGTACGTCAGTAATGCATTTAACGTACCAGCCTACCAACACCATAGCTTGGCAACACACTACATTATAGAGAGCCCACTGTTAATCTGCGTGATTACTTGGCTGACTTGGGGCTATAGCTCTGTGCTGCCACCCAGACACCTGTCAATAGTCCCCAAAAGATCAAAATGCAAAGTACGGTTTCTAATGAATATGTCTCTGTTTCAGACCTTTATAATGTCAAGCCATCATAAATAGGGACCATCTGTATGGGATTTTTTTAAATTGCACAATTTAGAGCCAGGCATGATGGCATATGCCTGTAATCCCAGTGGTATGAAAGGCTGAGGCAGGAGGATCGTGGATTTAAAGCCAACCTCAGCAATAGCAAGGTGCTAACCAACTCAGTGAGATCCTGCCTCTAAATAAAATACAAAATAGGGCTAGGGATGTGGCTCAGTGATTGGGGGTCCCTGAGTTCAATCCCCAGGATCCCCCCCCCCAATTATACAATTTAATACTGTTTGTATATTTACTATTCATTTGTTTAATAATCATTGCATTTAATAGGTTTCACGGGCAAATCTCCAAATAACTAAAAAAATAATTTCACTTTCATTTCTCCTAGTCCTAATACTTAAAATTCAGAAGTACAATCATGTAAGATTTGTTCTTGAATATTCATTTGAAAATATCTTTAATATTTTAATAATGTAATATAAATTATGGTTTGTTAAATAAACTATTTCATTATGCCTTTCAAAATACAAGCATGTGTTTTACCCCACAAAATAAGATATTGTTTTTTAAAAGCAGAATCTTTAATTTTTTTCAAAATTTTATTTACAGCTTTTTATATTTTGATCTTATTGCCTTTGTCAATTTTCAGATTTAATATAAGATATTTAATTTCTATTTCCTTAGACATTTTACTTGTGGCTTTTACATGATTCACTTTATTTCTCTAGCTGTTACTGATTTTATAGCTTAAAATAACAATGGTTTATTTAATTACAAGATCTTACTGTTTTCAAGATGGAAATCGTTTTTTAAATTATGAAACCATGGATTGGAGTTGTGGCTCAGTTGTGGCTCAGAGCGCTTGCCAAGCATGTGTGAGGCACAGGGTTTGATTCTCTGCACTGCATATAAATAAATAAATAAAATAAAGGTTTATCAATATCTAAAAAATATTTTTTAAAAAATTATGAAACCAGTATAAACTCTATTATTATAAAATACTCTAGATAGTAGATTATGTCAAATTACAATGTGATTCTCACATTAACTATCCAGAGTTAGTATAGATTTCACAGATTTAGGGCACAGTCCCCATTAAGGTTACCCTCATTCAGATGCCACCATTTTGGGGACCTCCCAGGTCATCTCACATCAAACCAACAGGCTGCAAATGTGGACATTTCCCTCATCTGCTCTGGCTCAGTAATTCTCTGGAATGACTCACAGGACTTAGAACAGCATTATACTTACGATTACATTTTAATTATAAAGGATATAAACTGGGCCCACCCAAAGAAGACACCTATAGGGTAAGATTTGAGAAGGTCCCCAGTGTAGAGCTTCCACGTTTTATGCTCATGGAAGCAAGATGTGTCATCCTACTAGCACCACAGTGTGACAGTGTGTTCACCAAACAGGAAGTTCACCCACGCCTCTGTGTTCAGAATTTTCACTGAAGTTTATTACATGCATATCACTGATTAGATCATTAATCGCATTATTGAATCAGTTCTGTAGCCCCACTCCCCTCCCTGGAGATCGGGAGGTTGGGCCTCAAAGCCCTAACCCTCTGTTCCTGTGGTCAGTTTTGCCACCACAACCAGTCTGGTTCTGGGGGCCTGCCACAAGTTATCCCATTAGCATGAACATAGATATGATCCGAGAGGTTCAGCACAAATAACAAAAATAATTCTGATGCTCAGGAAATACCAGGGATCTAGAATCTGGGACAAAAACAAGATACACTGTTATACAACTATGATATAACACAAAGGAAATAAAAATCTCATGATTTTATTATTTAAAATAACTTGTTAACTTTTTAAGTTTAGGTTTGTGTGTGTACTTGAATATTTTAGTAAAAGGATAATATAAACGCTGTTGAATAGCCTTTTTCACTTATTGATATATGAGGATCATATTAGTATTATCATTCTTTTTTTAGTGCTGGATATAATATTATCATTCTTATTGTTATGTAGTATAATATTAAATGAATGTGCTATATTTATTTCTTGAATTCTTATTTTCTCTCCACTGATATTTCTGTATCATTCTTAGAATAACTTTTGAAGGCTGTCTGTTCTATTCTATTAATATTTAGGATTAGTACAGCATTAGAATATTAAGTAAGTGATAAACAACCCAAAATTAGTCTTGGTTATTATTTTAATGCTACTGTTAAATAATATTTTGATTACTAATATTTATAAAGTGAAACCTATTTAGAACATTTAAAATAAAGGTCATCTTGGTTGAATGTTTTGTTATAATTTTTTTAAACTTCCTTTCAAAATGGCTGTATAGTAAAAATACTAATGTTAAAGCAAAAACTGACAAATACAAGGCAGTGGACATAATCCTTGTAAAGATTTCAACTCCATGTCATTGATAAATAAAATAAACAGAAAAGAATTAAGAATAGAATGTGATCAACAAATTGATCTAATAGGCATCTCTAGAACATTGAATGCATTCATTTACTCAATAATTATTTAGCAAGCATTGACTATGTACAGGGTTTGATCTTGATACCTGGGTACATCAATTTATAATAAATACCTTTCTATTTTTGAAACTTACTTTTAGCAGGAGCAGGCAAACAATGAACAAATACAGTGTTCAAGTAAAATAAGCTAAAAGGCCAAAGGAATACAGAAAACAAATAAAAGATCAGGGTGGGGTTACTGGAGTGCTAGGATAATGGTGGAGTGGCATTTTAAAGATTTGGAGTAGTCCTTACTGAGAGGTTGTGATTGATTTGAACAAAGATGTGACGATATTGATAAACCAGATTTATAAAATAGGGACAGGGTTCCAAGTAAACCCAAAGCCGTTGCAAAGGCAGGATTGAACAGCAAGGAAGAACAGGAAGGAAGTGAGCTCTCTCTGCTATCTATTGCTGATTAACAAACCATTTTAAACTGTTGAGACTCAACACATTGATATATTTAGAATATTATTTTGGGGACCATCAGAGCAGATTTTCTTGTCTGAGCCTACTCAGCCGAGATCTACTGAATTTGTCTGTGTGTCTCCAGCTATCTTCTAGCAGGATGGTCAGATAGTCAGTAGTGATGGTCAGTCTGTCTGGCAATTGGCAAACTTCACCGGGGTCATGAGAAAAGTCCTTCTTTTCTTGGCATGGCAAGGTTCTCAAGAAAAGCAGGAGAGCAAATCACAGTATGTAAATACTTCTCCACCCTCTTTTGAATTATATTTGTTAATACCGCATAGCAAAGTAGGTCACCTGACTAACCAATTCAAAGGATGGGCAAGTAGATTCCCCACTCGATAGGAGGATTTTCAGTGTCATATTGAAAAGTTGGGAATGTGGAGAAGTAAAATTTGTGACCACTTGTACAGTCTTTCCTGGTATACCTGGAACAGAGTGAGCAAGGAGGAAAATAACAAAAGATGAAGTCACACAGGTTGTGGAGAAAGGGCACAAGATGATATGGAGCCCTGTAGGCCACTATAGGGACTTTGGGTTTTGCTGTGGAAAAATAAGAGTGGTTTTTAGTAGGAGGATTGACAGATCTTCTAATTTTTATATCACTCTGGCTGCCGTTTTGAAAGTAGACTGTAGAAAGGTAAAATTGATAACAAGAGGAGCAATGAGAAGGCTGTTGCAGTAACCCAGGCAAAAGATCCTGTTGACCAGGAGGACCCTGGGGGAGACTAGTGGGAAATGTGATTGGTTTTTATGCTTTTTAGTGTTTTGTATTAAAGATTCAAGAAGTTTCATTGATAATTTGTCTGGAGGCAACAGGGACAGATAAAGAGGACTCCAAGATTTTCTCTTGAGCAACTGGAAAAATGATAATGCCATGGACTGGGAAGTCTGCAGGGGCCAAATTGGTGAGGTGGGGGTGGTGTTTGGGCAAGAGTGAGTTCTCAGTGACTGTTGGAGATTCCAGTGAATATATCCAGTGAGCAAGTGAGTTGTTAAGTAAACATTTCAGACTGGAGATATGAATTTTTGATGATGAACATAAGAGTAGTGTTTAAAGCCATAAATCTAGAATGGATCATCTAGGGCATAAATACGATAAAGAGAACTCTGACTTAAAAATACTTAAAATTGAGAAGGGAAAAAAGTAGGAATCAGCAAAAGAAGCTGAGGAAAAAACAGTGAGTTAGGAGGAAAAGTAGGAAGTGCAGTGTCCTAACAGCCAAGGGAAGGAGGAAGGAGTGGCCATCAACTAAATCAAGCCAGTGATAGAGGGATGAGGTCTACGCACTGACCACTGAGGTTAGCAACATGGAGGTTATAGCAGCGTCCCAGGCAAACTACTACAAACACAGTGACGAAAAATAATA